GGGGTACTGTATTCTGCAATTCTCCCATGAACTGTGCACTGCAGGTTCATACGAATATTTTAAATCACACACGAAGAAAGGATGTTTAAGTTGGACAAACCAAAGCACGACTGCGGCATTTTCTATTGTTTGCACTTTGTCAGTCGACTGGAAATATTGATATCGCAACAGTGATGTCGCAAATTGCTTACGAATTTGATTGATTTAAAGTAATAGACTAACATATAAAGTGTATAGGTAAACTATACTATAATACTATTTAGTATACTATAGCTGACCAGAGGGCAAAAGTTATATTGCTCTTAAAGATTTTCTTGTTCTTTTTTTTTTCTTTTTGGCGGCATCTAACCAAAACAAAAACCAATGGGAACATCAACCAAACCTAATATGTGAATATGGATTTAATGACATTTGTGGTGTCTGAGATTACCAAGTACTAACAAACGCACAGACATTTATATATTATTTATTATATACCCACAGGCTACAATATATAATAATAAAACGATATCAAATAAATTATTTATACATATTGTTATTATGTAGATACAGATAATAGGTAGTTAAATTAATAAATTCTTACGGAACAAAACTAAATAAATAAATAATTTTGTACTACTTGAAGAATGTCCTGTGGCGATACAAACTTCTGTTTTTCAAATGAGAATCCCCTCTACTTTTACTGTAAATTATTAAGTGGATAATTTTTTGAAAATGTTGATAATATAAATAATATAAAATTCGAATGAGTAGTTTCTCAGTTATTAAAATGTTTGTATTAAGGATAATAGTCCTTAAAAATGGTTTAACATAATTATAAAATAGACGTAAAACTGGATCTAGTATTTATTATACTTGGGCCATTTTTACAAATTTTTAATATTAATGACTACAATTTTCAAATCATCAAAGCCCCTCAAATCTTACAAACTCATTTCCATGGACATTTTATCTTTAGAACACAAAATTGAATAACTCAAAACCTACTCATAGGTTTAAATTTTGGTTCTAATACGTCAAAAATTTCAGTAGTATAAAAAATTATAAGAATTTGAAAATATGGACTTAAAGTATATTTAAAAAAACCAAAAATCAGATTTTGGAAGCTGCATTATTGAAGAAAAAAAGGGGATGCAAAGCATACTTGGTGAATCACTCTGTATACCTAGAACATAATTTATTTGGTATATCACTAATGATTTAACTGTTTTTTTTTTCAATTTATAGTGGTTTTCACTGCAGTATAATTTTTTGAATTCAATTTATGCTTGTAGATATTTCTTTATTTTTCCAGAGTTTTTTCATAAATTACTGGTAATAGATGAGTTTGAATTTAATTTAATATTAATTTATGAAAAATACGGGCTGAGCCCTTTCTTAAAATTTAGGTACCTAACAGAGTAAAAATATTATTGGATTGTATGAATCAATATTATGTATACCTAAAGTAAATTGTATGGTACAATATTAGGTTTTTGATGATACAATTGTTCTTAAACTAACCATTAAAATTACTATGCCTTAGTGAATAATCCTACAAAAAAATGAATGAATAAACAATATAAACAAACCGTTGAAAATATATTGTCATTGCTTTGGACCTAAAAGTAAACTACAAATAACCATTTAGGTATTATACAACGGATTAAGAATAATTATATGTCAACAGTAAATTTATAATGCATTGCAGGGCATCGTCGTATTATGCTCTTTCATTTGTAGATATATAATATATATATACATATAAACTTTGTTTGACAATTCAAATATTGGATTAAAAGAATAATGATATTATGTTTAAGGCGAAAAATACTATTTGATATCGCACTGGACCATTTAGCGTAGAAAAAAAAATAGGCACTCGTTTTAATCTAGTAAACGTGCCTGCGTTTTTAAATTATAATGTAATTTAAGTAATATTATGTACCAACACGTTATACTTAATTATCGCTCCAGACAGCTCTGCATTTCTGAAAGCGGCGCCCCGTTCGGTGGCGCTTCGTTCGCAGCAGTCGTCGTATATGCGAAAGTGTAGAAATCTCATTATTGCTATAAATTATTGTGCATAGGTATGCCTGTATACTTATCGAACTCGTAGACGCAACACACAAACGCCCTATGATAATAATATATATGGTTTATACCTAGGTCGCGCGGCTAATATCTACTCTGGCCGTGTAAAAGCTTCACTGCATCGACGGTCCGTAATTAGATAGTATTTACGCGACGTCACTGGAAAGGGGGCCGGACCCTTGTGATTTATGTACGAAATTGGTTTTTGTTTGTTTTATATATAATATGTAATACACGGGACGCGGAGTTAATCAAAAGACGGGCGGCTCGTCGATGGACCCCCGAAACCGTTTTCCACTCGGCTGCAGTGTATAATGTAGTAAGTACTCCTACAACATAAATACATAATATGTCGCCGCGGAGGACGTGCTCTGCTGTAGTAGTTTTACGGGTCTCGGGAGACAATCGCCGATAACAAAAGCCCGTTTGCCGAGCTCATTGTCGTCGTCGTCGGGGGCGACCAAACAGCTGCAGATCGAACCGCCGATATAGACGCATTACAACGTCCTCTGTACATATTATAATAATACGATGTCAATGTGTAATTGGTTGCCGGTCGGATGCGCAATCGGAGCCCACGATAAGAATGCGAGTGTTTCGCCGAGAGAAAGAAAAAGGGCCATCGAAAAATACCCCGGCAGCAAATCCTGCCCCCCTCCCCCCAGCGATGGGTTTTCCATTTTAATGTACCGTTAACGACGCAGCCTTTTAGCCCGACAACGCATCGATAGTAAAAAAAGGAAAAACAGTATAATAATAGGTATAGTATATATAAAAAAAAAAAAATAAGAATAAAGATTTTATTGAATTTCACTAAAATTCAGTCGCTGCAACGGTCGTTGAGACTTTGCATTCCATTCAACCGTGCCGGCGAAAACATGCCTAACAATATTCAAGTATCTAAACATTTACCACTAAGCGTCGTTTTCATTAATCTAGTCAATAGCAAATAGCGATGCCAAACTATTATAATGTATGACCAAGGATTATGGTGGGGGGGTCCACGTATGTAAAGGATAAGCTTAAAATGTTATTAATTGGACCCCTCTAATTTTTATAGTGAAAAATATTACACATTTAGATAGACATGAGAAAAAAATTATTATAATACTATATATTATATTCGTGTGAAAATAGTACCTATAAGTTACCAGCAACCAGTAGTCTGCAGTCAGTATATACCTACCGGCTACCATCTACCTTGTCGTTACCAGACAGTCTTTTCACGAATATTTAGATTATTCATACTATTTTATAAATCAAAAAAAAAATTATCTCGTAGAGAAGAGGATGGAAAAAAAACCAAAACATGAATAATTTTGTTTCAAAACTTTACGCTAAATTACGCAATTTTTCGAAAATGTTTCATAATATGCTTATAATATACCTATTATATGTATATATATTTCAAAAATAGGTACTAAACGTGAAAAATAAAACACTGGATTAGGTCATTCAATATTTCTAATTATTTTAAAATTCATAAAATTGAATCAATAAAAAAAAATGTATAATATTTAATATTGTTAATATACTTTATATTATGTACATTTTAACTTCTGAATGTTATTATTTTATTTAAAATTGGTTAGGAAAAATTGATTGGAAAATACTTTGGTAGCAATTTATAAATATTAGTACTCTTTTTCCATGTCATTATACTTAAGTAATATTTTAAGTTAGTATTGAAGTACCTATAAGTAATAACAAAGTGTTCTAACTAGGCACCTATTAAATTATATTATTTAAAAAAAATTTAACACTTTAGTAGCTATTCTACTTTAAATTTCACTAGAGACTAGAATTATATCTTTGATTAATTGGACATATGACATTTGTATAGTTGTTAATAATTAATCAATGATTATATTAATGGTACCAACTTATTATTTCTTAAGTGGAAGTCAGAGCAATATTTGTTTTCTCTCAGACACAAGGCGCAAAATGGATAAATTCATATGATGTCGTTTTTTTATGATTTTTTAATAAACTTATTGTAAAACTAGATATTACAACAATAATTATTGATTTTGTTTTTAGAATATTTTTAAGTGTTTCACATACTGGTTTTATATATTACTAGCTGTCCCATCTGCTCTGCCAGATCTCATAAAGAGAAAACAAACATTGAGCTGACGTACTCTCAACAGCTAGTAATTATAAAGTTATTATTGTTAGAGGCTCACAACCAATTATCCGCCTGTCATGTCTTTGTCCTGGTTTGATAATAATATAATATTATGCTGATAATAGGTTATATAATATATTAAATAAAAGTGTTAAAAGTGTCTGACAAATGTAAACATTAACTATGAAACAACTTTTGTTTAACTTTGTAGTTCCTTGATATAATTATTAATAATAACGATAGGCAATTACTATAAATTTTTTTTTTTTTTTTATTTTATTAGAACAAAATCCAAAACATATTACATTAGAGTAGGTAGTTTCAATTACATTTTCAGTTCTTTCTACTACATTCAGTTTATACATATAAAAAATAAGCAATATAAAACATATAATATAAAATAATTATATTTAACATTTTAACCGAAAAGTACATTGAGGAACTAGCACAGTCATTATACTAATTTATTATTAGGAGTAGCACGTTTTTTTTTCGACAAAAAGGTGTTCCGCTTTATGATTTTATAGTGCGTATATAGTATATACTATATACCCCTACTTACCTCTCGGTTTCATTATTGTCTTTATACACTCGAATCACACGATTACTGTTCTCAAAATGTCTAAACAAAATCAAGTAAACAAAAATGTCGCATATTTAAATAATATTGTGGTAACAATTTATTACAAAAAAAAAAAAAAAAATATAATAAAAGGAAAAATAAAAATATAATAAAAGGAAAAATAAAAATATAATGTATATATAATTTGTATTTATTATAAAATATAGGTAATGAATATCAACAAATTGTTTTCGCGTTCACCGAACGCTTCTTGGGATGGTGATCGTCTCCGGTCATTCGTTTTCTTTTTTCAGTCTTGGTAGATAATTGTTGAGTAGTACCATTTTCTTCAGCGTGTGAATTTTCCGAACCAGTACTCAGATCTGGGTAAGCTATGTTGAGCAATGACGTTTCGATGGCTATCCGAGCTATGAGTTTCTTGTCCATCGGAAGTGTGGACAACATGGGTAAAAGACTCAATAAAAAATGTTTGTCATCGGAAATATTTTCGTCTTGATTCGAATACTCTGATTTCACTTCGGCTGAATTTTGATAGTCGTACTCGATGTTAAGACAGTTCAAGGGGTTTCCTTCGTCCGACACGTCTTCTTTCAGTTCTACTTCTGGATAGATGTTTTGGTATGGTAAGTCCGTCAAGTACGCCGAATTTGTGACGGTGTGTGAGATCTGTTCTTTGATGAACATCATAGAATGAAAATATGGCCATCTAGACATTTCTTGATCACTTTCCGTGCTAGTCATGCATCTTTTGTACTCTTTACGGAAATGGTCTTTTAAGTTTTTCCATTTACCCCTAGCAGCTTTGCCTGAAATAATAATTACAATATTTAAGTAAACTACAGTTTATTACTTCATAGTAAAATAGATTAATTATATTTACACAAGGTGTGTACAATTTATAGTAATAATAATAATAATTAAGTTCAAATAAACTGCTCTCAAACAAATTATTCATTGATTATTTTTTTTTATCGGGGTAGAGGTCTAGATACCCTAGATAAAGTCACTACGTTTTGGAATTGTTGTTACCTTAATAGCTAGGTATAGATTAAAGTAAAGTCGGTAAAACCAATTATGTAAACACCGATAGGAAAATTTAACAAATATTAGATAATTATATAGAATGATTATATACATGTAAGTACTTGGATGTCTGTGCCAATCTGATTTGAATGATTTCTTTAATTAAACTTAATGATTTTGTTTTAAATTTATCATGATGATATTTTTTTTTAATAAATCTGTTATAGGTACTTACTATTATAATATACTTAGAACATATATAATTAGCCAATTAGGTAATATAACTAAAATATATAATAATGTTGTATTAGGTATAATTTATAACACCATAATATAATATACAAATATTTTGTTAGTTACAAATATATAACACTTTCCATAACCTAAAACTTTGGACTATATAGTTCCTGATATTTGCTAGTAATCAATATTTATTAATGGTTAATTCCTAGTTAGTTTGAAAAATATAATTTTTAATCGAACGTCATTTGAGATAAAGCTGAATAATTTAAATTCAATAAACATATTTTCATAAGTATTGATAAAGAGTCATGAAAGTTAATTATACATTATATTATTAGATGTGTGCGTTCATAGCAAATTAATTTTTACTTGTTGTTAACATAGTTTTCTAAATACAATTCTCAAATCATGTATACACGTGTATTATACATATATTATTGTAGACAAAAAGTGAGCACTTATAATTTTACAAAGGTATTTTCCATTTTTATAGCATTCTAATGAATTTATTAGTTTTTGTATTTTTAGAATGCTTTGTGCATACAATATACCTAAGTGTACTGAACAAATATTTATGATAAAATTAAATAAAGTTGAATAAAGACATTAATATTTATTTTCATATAAAATTTATTATCCAGCTAGATATATTTGTAAATAATACCATTATAAATATTACTAATTAAATATTAATATATATAATCAATAATAATATATTAATCAAATAATTTATTGAAGAAATTCATAGTAATATTTCATTCAGTGAAAAAGATATTTTAATTGTTGATTTCAGTTATTTTAACTGCCTAGTTCTTAGTTTATAACTGACATATAATATTATGCCAATTGACATATTTTAGACAAAATAATAGTTGTTTCAAATATCATGAATATAAAACACAATTATTTTTAGAGATGTGTGTGTTTTTTAAATTAATTTTTTGTTTCTTAAGGCACTTTTTCTAGTACAAAAAATTTTCCGATCATTAACTTTGTGAAAGGTTTTTACATGGTATTTACTTTGGTAGAAAATTACATCTAGTAGGTACTTTTAAATTTCAGGAGGTCAAAATTAAAAATGTTCACTATTTTTTAAAATAATTATTGAAAAAAATCATTAAATTCAAATTTAAGTTTTAACCCATAGATATTAGGTACATTACAGAGACCTACTCAATGACGCGATATATTTGACACACATATTGTACAGCCTACTTGAAAGATTTTTAATTTTATTTTGAATGCATTTTATAAAGTTTTATTGTACACCTATACCTATGTTCACATTGTTATGTTGTTTTGAACAGTAAAGTTTTATGACGATATTGGAAACCTCACTAATTGGTTAGTAGCTGGTATTATATTATATATTTTGAACGGTTTAATACAAATAATTAAAACAATGGAATATGGTGAGGTTGTGAAACATACCCAATTAAAAATCAAAAATAATAAGTTCTACTTTTTTTTTTATAAAAAAAGAACAAAAACACCTGGTTAAAAACACGACTTGAAACTATTATTTAAACCAGGCAGAAACATTTCATTACGTTTAAATTAACCGTTTTGTATATTTACTTGTCGATCATATTAAACGATAAAATTTGAATAAAAAATTATACATATCATCCAAAGGAAAAATAAACAACAATCACGAGCGAAGCTGTGACGGGTCGGCTAGTATTATAGTATAATGATTAAAAAGAGAAAAATCATGTTTACTGGGAAACTTATCGGACTAAGTATATATTATATTTTAATTACACAAGTATATTAAATCAAAAGTTTTTATGCTGAAAGTCATATGGAGATATATAATTATTTTTATTAAAATTTTTTTTTTAAATTTAAAATGATTTAAGTAGGTACTTATATTTAGTTACATATTAATATTCTATTTTTTATCATGAAATAATGTTAAATAACAAGGCCTTTATCCTTGTATAGTTATACACGTCTCATACTTATTATACAATATATTTTATAAAAATTATTAGTAGGTATAGGTACATTATAATAATATATCAATACTATATCAGCATATAGATACCTAATTATTACATATCATACTATTTTCCTTGATTATACTCGTACAGTCGACAGTCGTACGAGACTTCTTTTGTAATTATAGAGTGAAACCAAACTAAATGAAAAGGGTTTTCGAAAGAACATAATGATAGCCAAACCCTATGATAAATTTATACCAAATAAAGCTCCTATATTGAATAGTGTTTAATAATAATTTGAACTATTTCAGTAAGTAGGTACTACAACCTGTAGGAGTGTCCGAGTGTAGCAGACATGTTAATTCAATTATTTTCGAAATGTTTACAATACATTTTGAAGCGAAACCTTTGTATTTTTTTAATCCATGGATACCATTTTTAGTTAATACATTTTCAACAGTACTCACTATGTGTTTTTTCAGTTACACGCTAAATACACATTACGTATTGCATGCACATTATTAAATACAATTTCATTTAAAATAATAGTGGATACAACAATAATAATATAATATGTGCGGCTCGTCAACTGGTGTTTGTTTGAATAATTTAAATAGATACATTTAAAATTTTAAATGTTAAGTCCATTTAGTAAAATATTTTTTACAGTGGTTTTCAATTTTAATTGAGTAAATATTATTGCTGTTTAGCCGAGTGTATATTGCAAAGATAAAAAATTGCGAAAGTGGGTAGGTACCGCTCTGGTGTACCTACATTAGGATTTGTGTGGGTCGGTATACAGAAAATTGGTACGGTATATTGTGTTTTTAATAAAAGTAATGATATACCTAGGCGGAATATTAGTACTATAAAATATTTTATTTTCAATGGCTAAATAAATGAGTCTAAAATTAAATTAAATATGAATTCACAATTGCTTAAGCAAAAATTCATAATTGTTACAAGTATAGTTCAACTATGGTATTTAAAAAAATATTCTTTGTCATTTCTTTAGTTAAGCACCCAACTATTAATAGTTTAATAGTTCATCAATGTATTGAAGTGAAACATAATATATTTTATTTTTACCCTAGGTGTTAAATTAACAGATTCATGACGTATTTTTTTCAATTCTATCAATACTAAAGTATTCTTATAAAACTTTCCATTACTTATAACAAAATTGTTTGAATGTGGTAATAAGCTGAACGTTGCAGTTGCACTAGGTTGTATGAAACCCATACAATATTATCTTTTAATCATCGTTGTGGACATTATCATTTGCCGTTGTAGATTAGACTAATACTTTTCTAAAATATACTTTGCAATACTTATACCACGTGAAGATACTTTATTATTGTTTTTTCCTAGTTTAAGAAACCCTGATTTTTAACGACCGTAACAATATTCCACGTTCAAAACGACCGTACAATTTTCCGAAATTCGTGTGGGTCACTGTAATTTATGTTAATTTGAATTCAATGATGTATAAAATCAATAATCAATGCATAGACGATAAACGATTCTGAGCGAAGGTCAGCATAAGCGTGCGCACGTGGCGAGCCGGTCAAGCCGAGGCTCGAAATGAAACTTTTTAGGGGCATAGTAAAATGTGCCGATATATTTAAATATTTATAATGCTTATATTATAATAACATGTTCGTGAGATCATGAACATTTTGTTTGTCGTGAGAGTATAAAAAAATCAAAAATAATTAAGTGTACTGTGTACCTACCTAACCTAACCACTACACTGATTTTATTAATCTAAAAAAAAACATTATACCTTTATACAAATACAATAACTATAGTACCATGGACATTAATAGGTTAATACATCAACATGTATGTTCGTGAGTTAAAAAAAAAATTAGGGGCTGTCCAAATATTAGGGCACTATAATTTGTCTAGGCTCGACCAGAAATTTAAGTCTAATGGGAAACCTTTGTTTTAAATGTTCAATCCTCAGCTTTAAAATTGAAAATTTTATAAATTTTTAATTACAAAATATTTTGAAAATGTTAGTGATTTTGATAAATTGTATCAAACTTTAAATGACACAAAAAAAATCAAAAAAAATCGTGCAAATTTATCTTAAATATTTTTGAACTTCTATTAGAAAAACGCAGGGGTATCTTGTATTACATTTTCAAGCTTTTTGAACCAGCGAAAATTAGTTTAATGATATTTAAAGAAATAAAACTAAAAAAAAATTGAAAATAACTACAAATTGAGTCAAAATATTTTGGGAATGTTATCATGTATAGGTACTTATACAAAATGATAAAATAAAAATTTGGTGATAATTCGAGTGTCTACTTGTATTCGTCTTTTCTTACAATAAAATAAGAACATTATTCGATGAGAAATCGTTAATCTACGGTTGAATGTGCAGCAATGTCGTAAAAATTTGAACTCAAAATATATTATACGTGTAGCTACATGTAGGTACTGGACTTGAGTAATGTTCCGATAACAATTTTGAAAACATATTTGATTAATTTATTAAGAAGTATAGGTATATTGCAGTGGCGTATATACGAATTATTTTCACTATGTGCCAATTTATCAGTTATCACTAGTCAAGCATAGAACGACTAACATATAGCCATAATTATACATTTTTAAGGGAGCTGGGTGGTTATAATTATGACATAGACAGTACAAATAAAAATTGTGCAATTCAATCTTATAATTATTATGTAAAATTAATTTTTTGATTCTTTTTTTTAAATATTGACTGTGTCATTTATATATTTTAATGTTATCTTACGATGAATTTACATCAAAGTCAATAAGTCATCAAAGCAAATCCTGACAATCTAACATTTCCTTGTTGATTCCTCAAAAATGATTTTAATCAACCAGCTAACTTAATCATGGTGAAAAACTGTAAACAGCGTAAGTATACATGCAATGCTTTGATTGAACCTGCAATTTCACTATGGGCTCTGGCCTAAGGGGCCTTCCTCCTATACCTATACGCCACTGGTATATTGAATTCTTTGACAGCGAACAGTGTAGGCGTTACGCACTCGAATGCACGTGTCATAGTACACCCCAAATCGAAATTTTATTATTTCACGGTGAAATGTTGTAAATCAGACCTAAACGAGTTTCAAGTGTTCCAACATACAGAATTGAGCTTTACACTGATGATAATTTTGAAAACAGATTTTATTTTGGTGTTAATAAGTCAACATTGAATCCGTTAAACCACATTTTTAATATATAAAAAAACTCGATATTTTAAACATTTTGCTGAAAAAAATAGCTATAAGTAAATTTTTTTTATACTTCCGACTCAAAGGATTAAAAAAAGCCTTCATATTAAATTCAAATATTTTTCAAAATTTCTATCGGAGTTGAACTCAAGTCATTACGACTTGGAAGTTGGTATTTTGTTCCAAAAAATGGCTTAGTGAAATCCCTTAAAATGTAGAAAAATTTATGATGAGGAACCTTGTATTAAATTTTCAATAAGATGGCCATATTATTAACATTTGGTGAAAATTTAAAGTTTCTAAGCAAATATATTAATTATTAAGTAAGTAAAATTCTAAGAAAGTAACATTTTTATACTATGTACGTCGATACTAATATGCGAAAACTGATTTTGAAAAATTTTTGTTTTTCTTAATTTTTATTTTTTTATTCTTTGAAAACTGCGGAATTATTTACTTTAGATGTACCTTAAATGTAACAACAAAATTCACTTTCCTATGAGAACAGAATATGCTGAAGTATAAAATCGAAGTACCTATTTATATTGCCCCAAAAGGTGATGACGGATGGACAAAAAATAAATTAAAATTAAAACACAATAGGTCATTGTAAAGTCAATACACATTCGTCGCTCCGTTCAGAACCTAAAATAATGTTTTTAAAAACCAAAGTAAACATTAGTTGGTCACTTCCTCACGTTGGAAAACAGAAAACTGCGAACACCAACAAAAATTATCCAAATTCTTTTTGGGTAGTAACTCTATCATTCTAATAGTTAAGACGAAAGTAAATCAAGTTTTATCCCACAAGACGCGCCCAAGTCATCACTGCCATATAATGCCAAATCGAACGGACAGGATAACCCATAACACTATACCGTCCATTATACGGGTAACCGCGGTTACCGGTATATAATCGCGAGTCGCCGTCCACCCCGAGAACGTCATAATATTAAAATTTATCCTGCAGTCGGTGAAAACACCTGCACATGCGCTCTTGTCGGGACGAGATGCCTGCATACAATATAATTTACGATATTTGCAGAGGGTTGGGACGAGCGGCTCGACGAACGTATACCGAAGACAAAAATAATGACCGTGCGGTGTAGGCCCAATACCAAACAACAACAACAACAATAATAATATTATAACGCAAAAACGTTGGTGAAGCCGATGGGTGGTGCGCGCCGGGCTGCCGGCGGTGTGCGGGACGAGGAGGATGAACGGCGCCGCATACCCACGTGCTCTCTGGTCCCGCCATAACGGCCACTCGTCGACGCCTCGGCCACCGCGTGCCCGCGTGTAAACGCTGCCTCTTGTAAAACGCGTCGCTACCGCCGCCGCCGCTGGCGTCTGGTTCGAGCGTGGTGGACGAAGGACGAGGAGGGGGAACGGCCGGCGGACTGGTGGAGGTGGGTCGGAGACGACGACGACAACACCGCAACATGCGAGATTGTGGGTCGTGCGTGCGCGTGTGCGAGTGTGCGCGTCTAGAGCGATTGGAACGCGCGCAACATTAATATTATCAACGTCTCAGCACAACGCAAATATCAGATTAGTATTATTATTATTAAAATCACAATATGCAATGCAACGCGACCAAGTAGGTACCGTATTACACGAATAATTATTTCGTTGCGATACGAACGACAATATATTGTGGCACACAACACTATCAATATAATATCACATACACACGAAACAGTGAAACATTGCAAATTAATAATTTTAAGACTAATTTTACCTATGATGCCGAGCATAGAGGCCACGGACTCCCAGTGATGGTCCAGCACGGACCTGTTGTGGTGTTGCGGGTGTTGCCGGTCCCACAGCTCGGGCCTCCGGTGCACTTCGGCTATCAGACGGCTGACCTCCAGCGAACTCTTGCCGGACATGGTCGCGGCGGGTGGACGCCTGCACGGGGGTAGTGCGAATCCTCCCGCAACACTCGTCGTCGTCGAATATAGATTTGCGAGGCCGGACGAGCGTTTCGTATGCCCAAATGGAGACACCGGCGGCACGGGTGTTCGGAACGACGAGGTCCGTGCGTGTTGTTTACGCGCGTTTCACCGGACGTTTACCCGCTCCGCCGCTACACGCGGGCGGCGGCGGCGGCGGCGACGACGACGGCCTCGCCGAAAGCCGAATCGACAAACCGGCGGCCGGCAGCCGCGATTGCGGCGGCTGTTGCAGTCGTGCCAACGTGAACGGACACCGCCGCCTCCGCCCGACGGAATCGCTGCTCCGCTGTGTCGCACCTACAGTCGGTGGCACCGATCACCTAATTAATCTATGACATATGTCATGGTATATTTTTTATGGGGGGGGGGGCATTGTAGGTTACTGCAGGGGATCCAAAATTTGCATTTAAAAATAAATTATTACACATTGCATTTTGTAGGTGCTTTGAGATTGCATCTGAGTGTGAGATCAAAAAAGGGGGGTGACGGGGGCCCCTTGATTGTCATAGTATATTTTAAACACTTTGGCGCCACCGCCTACAGTTGTACACGCTCGGTCGCTCATTATTCGAATATCACGTCATCACAACAACCAGAGCAGCCAAATGCGACACTCGTCCGTCCGCCGTGCAGTTCGCGACGTGTCTGTCGGCCGTTTACAACCTCGACTGGGCTAGGTTAAGACGTTAGGAGTTACCCAATGTAACCGTATTTAGGTGCCCAAATGACATAAGTACCTAACTGCCCGTCGCAGATATACACATGACGGAAAACTTGGGGTGGCGAGGAGGTTCCGGTGGTCAGTTGTGGACCACTTAATACTTCGGACAGTGTAAGCCCCTCACCTGAATTCAACCAAAAGCCATCCTGCACCTGTGCTTGTTTGGTACCTATTCGTCGTCCTGCCACAACACCGAACGGACGATCGAAGCAAGCCCGACGGTCAAGTTGATAACCGTAACAATAGCAACTTGGACGTCGCACTATCATCCCGTGCGAGGTCACAGCGTGGTCCTCTATATAGACTCAAAACCCCACGCCATCGTTCCGGTCCGAATCCACAGGTGACCGATCGGCCCAGTGTAATAATGTGCACAGATAATAATTATATCGCAATTATTATTGTGTAAGTCATCCCACCGAAACCGCCACCGTCGAGTATAAACTTATCTATCGTGTATATTTAATTATGGTCGGTTCTAAAATGGGAGGGAATAAAAAAGACCTTGTACAATTTAAAAAAATTACACAAGTAATATATTATACTACTCTACGTAGTCCATCCACACGCATGACTTGGTCTGGACACAAATATTATCAGTGACTGCACGTGCTTATCACGGCATATTATATTTTTAACTAGTGCTGTCATATCTAATATTATTATCACAGTTACAGGCACCATTGATTATAAAATATACTATTGTATTTACAATTATAAGTAAGCGGCACGACTTTCGAACTGTTAAATTGTCAAGAAAAAAGAAGCAAAAATACAGCTGTAGATGTGGGGGCATTCTCCCCCCCCCCTTCCCCACTACCCTGGTCACACCACTTCACGTGGATCCACCGACGGCTTAAATATCGTCACACAGATGACTTCGATCGCTTTAATGGTCGGTCGACTTGCAACAGATTTCGGTATAAATCCGACGAAATTGCGTCGTGAGGATCGATAAACGGACACACTGCAGAGTGAACGATCGAGTGCCTTTGTGGTTATATTTTGAGCAGGGGCCCCGCGATCCCGGGTTATGTCCCCCCCAGGACCTAGGTCCGAGATACTTGTACTATGCACATTAATAATTCCGTACCTACCTATGCTATTATATTATTATACGTGCGGACCTGTGACCTGTCGTAAAATTAAGTTTTGGATTTACATTTTATAATTAGGAATTCCTATTTTTCAAGTATTTATCATGTTACACACACCTTACTCGCTTTAAATTATAAATTCAGTAGTGTAATAATAATAATGAAATACGCAGTCACATTTTTGAAAGGCCACCAACCTCGGAAATACGTCGCTGGAATAATTAAATTACCCAAACGGCCAAACATCAATTCATGTTTGGACCGCTTGTAAGACAATAAATGGATAAAAAGTTGTAATATGCACAATTCTTGAAATTGTTATAAAATACAAAAATACGATCTTAATTCTTAGTAAATTATTTTTATTTCAATTTAAAGTTGGAATATTTTAAATTATATTTCAATTTACATTAGAATTCAAATTTACATTTTGCCTTGTTGCTTTATAAAAATCCTAATTGTTTTAATTTATTCATTTTTGTTTAATTGTTGCTTAATATGTCACATATTATATGCATACTTACAGACTACAATAAATATACTTCGTACAGTATATAGGTAATGTAAAATAAGAAAGTTTAAAAGCAAATACAAAATTAACAATTGACTTTAATTTCTATAAATAAAGTTAAATGACATCAAGTTTTTGTTGTGGGATGGATAAATAACTTCTTAAAATTAAGAATTTAACAAATTATGTTTATAAAAAATGAGTATTTTATTCATATTGTAGTATTGTACGTTATAATGTGTATTTGCTTGTGACAGTGGCCAACAAATCTTTACACTCCACATTTTATGTGGCTACTCATATTTTAACATTTCTACAACTTTTTCATGATATATTATACTATTATAGTATTGTGGAAGAAAAATCTATAACCATCGATGTCATTTGTCAAAGTACAAGTACACTAATACACAAGTTCCGAGTGTTGATATCAAAAGGTAGAAATTCAATACTCGGTCTTTCGTCAGATATTGATATTGGTAAGACAGGACACAGGTGACAGGTAAGTTACTAGTATTATATATTTTAGATTCTGAGTGGAACGATGAATGTATTGATTTTACAATGATGTGTGTTTTTTTATTTTTTTATTTTTTTTTGTGTCTGTGTACACGATAAGTAGCCGAAATAATGCTTCGATTTTCAACTTCAGTATCTTGTTCGATTGGAAAGGGAATATCGTTGGTGCATTGGGGGGTTTTTTTTTTAAGCATTTAAAGTTCAAAAAATGACAAAATATGGAAAAATCACGAAAATTTGCAAATTATTTCGAGTTAAGAATTCGTAAAAATTTTCTTTTTAAATCTAAGATTTGAAAATTAAACACAAGATTCCTTATAAGTTTGTCTACATTTATCAAAAAAAAAAATTCTATAATAAATTCAAATTCAATTTTTATGAGCGTTTGAAATTCAAATTTTTACAACATTGGATATTCACTCAATTTCTCATGTGGCGATTTCCTTATTTTGTTGTAATTCAAACACGAATTACTGTAGATACATGAAAATTTCACTGAATGTTTATATTATCATTTCCTATACACCATACAATTTTGAAAATATTTTGACTCTTTTTGAGCCGTTTACGGACATTTTCAATTTTCAATTTGTTTAGTTTTTTTTTTCTATAAATATCAATAAAGTTTTATCTGTTGGGCCAAAAAGTGTAAAAAATTAATACAAGGCTCTTGATATATTGTTACAATAGCAATAGAAAAATATTGAAAATACATAGGCACAATTTTTTTTTATAAGCATTTAAAGATCGCATTTTGACAAAATTTATCAAAATCTCGAAAATTATCAATCATCGTAATTAATAAATTATAAAATGTTCAGTTTTTATAGCTAAAGATTGAAAATTTAAAACAAAGGTTCTTATAAATAGTTCATACTGTAACCAAAAAATCCAAAAAATATATTAACACAGTTATTTTTTACAGACATTTTATATTCAAATTTAGACGAAATTACATATTAAAAAGCCTAGAATAACTATTTTAGTTTTTTTGTTGTGATTGCATAATATTATTCGTGGGTACTTGAAACTTCTTAAGTGTATTATTATATATCTATGATAGTATCACGGTTTTTGTTGATGTATAACGCTTATAAGTACCTAATGGATATTGTGATATGATTAATTTGGAATTTATTATAGGTACCTATTATAGGTTTTTTTTTTGTTTAATACCATAGATATGTATATAATATGTTTTATACCTAGACTGACATACTGTCTCCGCTCAGAATCGTTTTTCTTATAAAAAATCTCTACCGGACATTCAAATTAAATTTTTATGAGCGTTTGAAATTCAAATGTTTACAACATTGGATGTTCACTCGATTTCTCATGTAGCGATTTCCTTATTTTGTTGTTATTCATAAACGAATAACTAAAGATACATGAAAATTTCACTGAATGTTTATATTAGCATTTCTTATACACCATACAATTTTGAAAATATTTTGACTCTTTTTGAAATGTTTACGGATATTTTCATTTTTCAATTTTTTTAGTTTTTTTTTCTATATATATCAATAAAGTTTTATCTGTTGGGCCAAAAAGTGTAAAAATTTAATACAAGGCTCCTGATATATTGTTACAATATCAGTTAAAAATTATTAAAAATACATAGGCAAAATTTTTTTTTATAAGAATTTAAACATCGAATTTTGACAGAATTTTTCAAAATCTCGAAAATTATTAATCATCGTAATTATTAAATTATAAAATGTTCAGTTTTTATAGCTAAGGATTGAAAATTTAAAACAAGATTCCACGTAAGTAGTTAATTCTCTTACCGAAAAATCTAAAAAATATACAATCACAGTTTATTTTTATAGTCATTTTATGTTCAAATTTGGACGAAATTACATATTAAAAAACCTAGTTATTTTGTTGTGATTATATAATATTATTCGTGGGTACCTACTTGAAACTTCTAAAGTGTACTATTATAATATTATATCTATGATAGTATGAGGGTTTGTTATTGATGTTGATGTATAACGTGTTATAAGTACCTAATGGATATTGTGGTAAAGTGATATGATTAATTTGGAATTTATTATAGGTCAATTTTTTGTTTAATACCATAGATATGTATATAATATGTTTTATACCTAGACTGACATACTGTCTCCGCTCAGAATCGTTTTTCTTATACAATGATAATATATCGTTGAATTCAAATTTAATATCATCCATTATACAGTGACCCACTTGTAACCTACTGTACAGCAGAGCGACACCCACTTGCCCACCTTTTAAAACTGAATTCGAGATTCCTTAGAAGTTTTTCTACTTTTAACCAAAAATAATGCCTACTGGAAAGTCAATTTAACTATTTAATAAGCATTCGAAGTTCAAACTTTTACGAATTGTACCAGCTGCACTGCTGCAGTATTCACTCGATTTCTCTTGGAACGATTTTCTTTATTATTGTTGTCCAAAAATGAATAACCGCAGGTACTTAACATTTTCACCAACTGTTTATTTTAT